TTGGATCTGGCCAGGAAGGTATACATCTGGTGGTTCAGGTACTCATAGAAGATTAGGATTAGGGGGAAGCCGGGGAGGGTTCAGGGAACAGCAGCAGGACAGGTTGGCGGGGTTCAGGCTATAATTACAGGGTGGGAGTGCAAACAGCCGGACCGGACGCAGGGCTGTCCCGAGAGCCGCCTGGAGCCCCTGAGCCCCCCCTCAGGGTGAAGATGGGGGGCTGGGGCTCCTGGAAGGGAGAATTCTGGTGGGGACTGCAGCTGTTTGGAGGTGGGTAAGGGCTTGAACTCCGGAGTCAGATCGGCTCTGCTATTTACAGCGGCGTGACTTTGGTCAGGTCAGCACTGTTCAGCTGCACCCTCTGTCTCCACTCCTTCATGGGCAGAATGGAAAGGAAGGAGCGCACTTCACAGGTGTCCGTAAGGATTAAATCAGCTAAGGTGTGTCAGGTGCTTGGAAGTACACCTGGCTCCGTGTGTGGTAGAGGTGCCGACTGTGATTGTTAGTCACACCAGGTTTGGAGAGACTGGTGAGCTTTCAAGGAAATACTGCTTTTCTTGCGAAACTAAAGTGTATTTGTGAGAATGGAGATCAAGATGTCAGCCTCCCCTGCACTTAGTTGAATAGAGTATCTAGAGTATTTATGTCAAGTGTACGCGACCGGAGGACCGCACAGGGGGCGGGCAGGGCTGGTCATTTTATGGAAAAATAAAATTTCACAGTGCTTCTGTGTGCATCCAGTAATTTGAGCATTATGGCAGAGACGGTGAGGTAGGCAAGATGGGTGTTTCCTCCCTGTGAGGCTGAGTGAGGTCCCCCAAGGGCTGCCCCAAATCCAGTCCTTTTGAATCCGACTACGTCACACAGCTTGGGAGAGGACCCCAGGCAATAAGCCTCTGTTTCCAGTACCTACTCGGAGCAGGGAGACTCTGGAGAGTGATCTTTTGAGCAGAATTAGTGTTTTTCTATTTGTCTATTTCCTAGAAAGTAACTCTGCTATGGTCTGAATGTTTGTGTGCCCCCAAAATTCCTATGTTGAAATCCTAACCTCCTTTGGGAGGTGATTGGGTCACAAGCGTGGAACCCCCATGATGAGATTGGTGCCCTTACAAGGAGACCCCAGAGAGCTCCTCCGGCCCCTCCCCCGGCCCTCTCATATGGGAGGCCACAGTGAGAAGATGCGACCCTTGAGCCAGAGAGTGGCCCCCCAGACACGGAATCTGCCGGAGCCTCATCTCGGGCTTCTGATAGCCTCCAGAACCGAGAGAAGTAAGTGTGTGTTGTTTATAAGTCACCCAGTCTGTGGTATTTTTGTTATAACGGCCTCAACTGACTCTCGTTTGTTGGGTACCTCTACACACGGGGCTCCATGCTGGGTGCTTCACTTGTGTTATCTCGGGGGGGGGCGGTGGCCCACCCTACCTCCGTGAAGTGCTACTGTGTGATTGGACAGAGAAGGAAACAGGCTCAGAGGCTCGGTCATTTCCAGTGTCACTGCCCAGGCTTGTCTGATCCTGAAGCCAGTCCCACAACGGGCAGTGTTTCTGCCCATCTCGGCGCCCTGGGGAAAAGTGTGAAAAGCACCCCCAGTAAGCAGCATCGCTGAGTTCTAAGTAAGGGAATGTTTACTGCAGACTTGTTTTTATTCTGGAGATAGCAAAAGGGGACCACTTGGAGAATGTTTGGCCTCTGAAAATCACATTTTGAAATAGGCACCATGTCTCAAAAGAGCCCTCACTGGCAAGACAAGCTCTACAATGGGTCAGAAATGGGAGTAATGGAGCAAAAGGTAACAATCAGGAATAAGCAGCTCTCTGGGGCAGTTTGTAACTAATATGGAAATTTTGCTTATATGAGAAAATGAGAACCAAAAGGAAATATAAAACAGAGTTCAGGGAAGTTTAGATAATTAATGGTGAGCTCAAGGAGGTTTAGATCATTAATGGCAAGTTAATAAGAAATATAACTTGAAATACTGAAACAGAATTTAAAATGTTCCAGGAATATTAATGTTTAATGAGACAGGTGAGTATAGTCAGGAGCTTACTTATGGGTGCAGAGTCAGGGAGAAAGGAGGTGTTCCTTGGGACTGGGCAGATGAGACAGTGTGTGACTGTTGGGTGGTCTGGGGGCATGTTGTGATCAAACGACCCCCATCGTCGTAAGCCCTGGAAGAGATGGGGTGGGGAGTGCAGCCTGCGCTGTCAGAGACATTCTGCATAGCAAAGAGTTTCCCCACATCTACATCAGTCTTGTTAGCTCGCATGCCCTAGTGCTTCCGAAAACCTCTGCACTGTATTGTAGGACGCTGTGTCCCAGGCGCGCGCACACACACACACGCACCCACACACACACACACAACTTGGACAAGAGTCTAGGAAAACAAAGATTATGTGAAGAAATGGAAATGTCTATAACAAAAAACCCCAGGCAATCAAAGGCATAGAATGAGGTCAAGTGATGATGGGTGTGTGTTTGGGGTGGGGGGCGGTTGTTATTAGGTGAAAACAGTAGAAACGGGCATTGTGTGTCTGAGGCCGAACCAGGTGCTCCGTGTCCTTATGAAAGCTTCACAAGGGCCTGGCTGAGGAAGGGGTTTTTCACCCAGCCAGGAAATGGGTTATTCCTGGTGGGGGCTCTGGAACTTGAACCGGGGGCAATTCTGCCTTGTTTCTGGATGTAGACTTGAGTTAAACTACCCTGGGTAAAAGCTAAGAAAAAGAGAATATAAAGAGACTTCTCAGCCATCTTTATTGAAATTGGAACAGAGAGGAATGGATAAATCAGTTTGGGAAAGATAAGGCCTGACATTTATGGAGTCTTAACCTATTACAGAAAAGCAAGTCCAGGGGCGCCTGGGTGGCTTAGTCCCCCTTAGCATCCGACTCTTGGTTTCCTCTCAGGTCATGGTCTCAGGGTGGTGAGATTGAGCCCCGCGTCAGGTTCTGCCCTCAGCGCAGAGTCTGCTTAAGACTCTCCCTCCCCTTCTTCGGTGCCTACCCCCGTGTGCCCTCCCTCTCTCTCTCTCAAATAAATTAATAAATCTTTTTAAAAATAAAAAAAGAAGAAAGGTAAGTACAGGGGCGCGTGGCTGGCTCAATCAGTAGAGCACGTGACTTTTGACCTCGGGGTTGTAAGCTTGAGCCCCATGTTGGGTGTAGAGGTTGCTTAAAAATTTTAAAAAATCTTTAAAAAAAAGCAAGTATAATCATAGTGGATAAAAGGACTTTGTACAAATATTGATGTTTGGCCAGTCTTTAAAAAATAAATTGTCTTTATTGATTTATGTGAGATGAAATTCACCTATTTAATATTTGAAGTTCAATAATTTTTTTTAAAGTTCATATATGCTCATGTACTCACCACCATAATCAGACACAGAACATTTTCATCAACCCATAAAGTTACCTCCCACCCCTTTGTAGTCAACTTTCACTGTCCTACTCCCGGCCCGAGCAGCCACTCCTGTTTTCTGTCCCTATGATTTGTTTTTTCCAAAATGTCAGTAGACGTTCATCAGATAGCATCTAGTCTTTTGCATCTGGCCTCTTTCACTCAGCATATGCAACTGAGATTTATCCATATTATTACACCTATATTCCTCAATGTTTTAACGCATTCTCAAGTTGATGGACATTTGGGTTGTTTCCAGCTATTGCCTACTGTGAACGGAACTGCTGTAGACATTCATGTACAGGTCTTCATGTAGGTATGTGAAATTATTTACCTTGGGCATATTCCCAAGGGTGAGATTGCTGAGCTGTATGGTAAATATGTTTAATTTTTAAAGATAGTTTTCCAGAGTTGCTGCACTGTTTTCTGAAAGCAATGTATAAGGGTTTCAGTTGCCCTACATCTTTGCTAACACTTCATATTAGTAGTCTTTTCAATTTTACCCATTCTGTGATGGTATCTCATTATAGTTTTGCCTTTCCCTAATGACCAATGACAGTAAGCATCTTTTCATGTGCTTATGAGATTCATATATCATTAGTAAGGTGTTTAAGTCTTTTGCCCATTTTTAATTGGATTGTTTTTCTTCTTGAGTTTTAAGAGTTCTTTGTAGGGGCACCTGGGTGGCTCAGTTGGTTAAGCGTCTGCCTTCGGCTCAGGTCATGATCCCAGGGTCCTGGGATCAAGCCCCGTGTTGGGCTCCTTGCTCCGCAGGAGGCCTGCTTCTCCCTCTGCCTCTGTTCCACTCCCTCTGCTCCAACCCCTGCTCATGCTGTATATTCTGGACATGAGTAATTTATCAGATACATATAGGCATACACTTTTATTGCACATCACTTTATTGCACTTTGCAGATACTGCTTTTTTTTTTTTTTTTTAACAAATGAGTTTGTGGCACCCTGTGCCAAGCAAGTCTGTCGGAGCCATTTTTCCAGGAGCATTTGCTCCCTTCATGTCTGTGTGTCACATTCTGGTACCTCTTGCAATATTTCAAGCTTTTCCATTAATATTGAACAGCTGAATAATGCAGGGGTTAGGGATGCCCACCCCCTGCACAGTCCTGCACAGACCAAAATCTGCATGTGACTTTTAACTACTAATAGCTTCCAGTTATCAGAAGGCTTACTGATAACATAAACAGGTGATTAATATGTATTTTGTATGTTACATGTATTACATCCTGTAGTCTTGCAACAAAGTAAGTTAGAGAAAAGGAAATGTTATTAAGGAAATCATAAGGAAGAGAAAAAGCATTTACAGGACTGTATTTATCAAAAAGAGCTTACATATAAATGGACCCATGCAGTTCAAACCCATGTTGTTCAAGGGTGAACTGTATTTGTTATCTATGATCAGTGATTACAACTCACTGAAAGCTCAGATGGTTAGCATTTTTTAGTAATGAAGGATTTTTAAATTAAGGTATGTATAGTTTTTTATTCATAATGCTATTGCACACTTAATAGACTATAGTATAGTGTAAACATAACTTTTATATGCCTGGGAAACCAAAAATTTCATTTGACTTTCTTTGTTGTGAATTGCAGTGCTTTGGAATCGAACCCGCCATATCTCCAAGGTCTACCTGTGTGTGTTTTGGAGATATTTTCCCCAGGCTGAGTTTGCCTTTCCATTTAATCATCAGAGCCTTTTGAGAGCAGAAGATTTTGATTTTGATGAAGTCCGACTTATACATGTTCTCTGTTTATTATTTGTACTTTTTGTGTCCTAATAAAAGCTTTTCTTCTAGAATTTTAGTCTTTACAGTTGTATACATTTTATGTTAATTTAAGTGTATGGAGTGAGATAAGAGGTTTTGTTTTGTTTTGTTTGCATACAGGTATCCTGTTATCCAACAGTATTTGTTTTAAAGACTGTCCATTCTTGAAAGACCTTGGTACCTTTATCAAAGTGTGGGTCTACTTCTAGGCTCTCTATTCTGTTCCACTGATTTTTTTTAACCAGTTATTTTTTATTGAGATGTAATTCACATACCGTAAAATTCACCGTATCAAAGTGCATGATTCAGTGGTTTTTAGTATATTCACAAGGTTGCGCAACCATCACTACTGTCTAATTCTACATTTCCATTACTCCAAAAAGAATGTTCCATTGATTTTTTTTCCAGCTTTGTTGAGATGTAATTGTTGTATGAGTTTAAGGCATACAGTGTGTTGATCTGACACATTTATATATTGCAATATGATTACCACCATAGTGTCAACTAATACCTCTATCATGTCACATATTTATCTTTTTTTTTTTAAGATCTTATTTATTTATTTGAGAGACAGAGCACAAGCAGGGGGAGTGGCAGGCAGAGGGAGAAGCAGGCTCCCCGCCGAGCAGGGAGCCCAATGTGGGACTTGATCCAGGACTCTGGGATCATGACCTGAGCCAAAGGTAGACGCTTAACGGACTGAGCCACCCAGGCGTCCCAAATCATTTCTTTTTTTTTAAGTTTTATTTAAGTAATCGCTACACTGATCATGGGGCTTGAACTCAGAACCCTGAGATCAAGAGTCACATGCTCTACCAACTGAGCCAGCCAGGTGCCCCTATCATTTCTTTTTTGTGGTGACATTTAAGATCTATTCTCTTAACTGTCCAGTATATAATACAGTATTGTACACAGTATTCACAATGCTGTGCATTAGATTCCCAGAACGTGTTCATCTTCTAACTGGAAGTTTGTACCCTTTGACCAACATCTCCCCATTTCCCCCAGCCCCAGCACCTGGTAATTACCATGCTACACTTTGTTTCTGCAAGTTTGGCTTTCTTACAGTCCACATATAAGTAATATAAGGTATTTGTCTATCTCTGACTTCTTTCTTTCAGCATGATGCCCCCAAGGCCCATCTTTTTCATGGCTGAATAGTATTCCATATCACTCACACACACACACACACACACACACACACACACACACACACACAACCACATCTTCTTTATCCATTCATCTGTTGACAGACATTTAGGTTGTTTCCATATCTTGGCTGTTGTAAATAGTGCAATGAACATGAGAGTGCAGATATCTCTTTGGGTATATACCTGTAAGTGGGAGTACTGGATGATATGGTAGTTTTGTTTTTAATTTTTCTGTGACCAAACATGGATCTAGCCATACTGTTTTCCATAGTGACTGTACCAATTTATATTCCCATCAATAGTGTACAAAGGTTGCCTTTTCTCTATATCCTTGCCAACCTTTGTTAGCTCATCTTTTTGGTGATAATCATTCTAAAGGGTGGGAGGTAATATCACATTGTGGTTTTGATTTGCATTTCCCCAATGTTGAGCACCTTTTCATGTACCTGTTGGCCATTTTTATGTCTTTGGAAAAATGTCTATTCAGTTCCTCTGCCCATGTTTTAATTAGATTGTTTGTTTTTGTTTTTTTTCATTATTGAGTAGTATGAGTTTTTTTCAAATATATTTTGGATATTAACCCTCTATCACATATATGGTTTGCAAATATTTTGTTCCATTCAATAGGTTGCATTTTCATTCTGTTAATTGTTTCTTTTGCTGTACAGAAGCTCTTTAGTTTAATGCAGTCACACCAATTTCTGTTCTTGTTGCTTGTGCTTTTGGTGTCATATCTAAAAACTTGCTGCCAAGACCAATGTCAAGGAGCTTCCCCCCTGTGTTTTCTTTAAAGATTTTATTTATTTATTTGAGAGAGAGAGAATGAGAGACAGAGCACGAGAGGGAAGAGGATCAGAGGGAGAAGCAGACTCCCCGCCGAGCAGGGAGCCCGATGTGGGACTCGATCCTGGGACTCCAGGACCATGACCTGAGCCGAAGGCAGTCGCTTAAACAACTGAGCCACCCAGGCGCCCCACCCCCCCTGTGTTTTCTTATAGGAATTTAAGTTTCAGGTCTTATTTTAAATCTCTAATCCATTTCAAGTTAATTTTGTGGTGTAAGATGAGCATTCAATTTTATTTTTCTGCATGTGGCTGTTCAGTTTTCCTGACACCATTCATTGAAGAGACTGTCCTTTTTCCACTGTGTATGTCCAGTATTAGTTGACCGTATGCCGGGGTTTATTTCTGGGCTCCCAATTCTGTTCCATTGTCCATGTGTCTGTTTTTATGCCACTATCATACTGTTTTAATTACTATAGCTTTCTGGTATAGTTTTAAATCAGGAAGTGCGATGCCTCCAGCTTTGTTGTTCTTTCTCGGGATGGCTTTGTCTATCTGGGGACTTTTGTGGTTCCATATAAGTTCTAGGATTGTCTTTTATATTTCTGTGAAAAATGCCATCGGGATTTTGATAGGGGTTGCACTGAATCTATACATAGCTTTGGGTAAATGGACATTTTAACAATATTAATTCTTTCTATCCATGAACATGGGTATCTTCCCATTTATTCATGTCTTCCATTTTTCTCATCAAGGTATTATGGTTTTCAGTGTACTGATCTTTTACTTCCTTGGCTAAGTTTATTCCTAGGTATTTTATTGTTTTTGGTGCTTTTGTGACTGGGATTGTTTTTTTTCTTTTTCAGATATTTTGTCATTATTGTATAGAATACAATCAATTTCTGTTTGTTGATTTTGTAGCCTGCAGCTTAACTAAACTTCTTAATTAGTTTTTTTTTTTTAAAGATTTTATTTATTTATTTGAGAGAGAGAGAATGAGAGAGAGCACATGAGAGGGGGGAGGGTCAGAGGGAGAAGCAGACTCCCTGCCGAGCAGGGAGCCCGATGCGGGACTCGATCCAGGGACTCCAGGATCATGACTTGAGCCGAAGGCAGTCGCTTAACCAACTGAGCCACCCAGGCGCCCCCTTCTTGATTAGCTTTAACAGTGTTTTGAAAGATTCTTTAGGATTTTCTACATATAAGATTATATAATTTGCAAACAAAGACAGTTTTACTTCTTCCTTTCCAATATGCTTGCCTTTTATTTCTTCATTTTCCTGATTCCTCTGCCAGGACTTCTACTAGTATGTTGAATAAGACTAGTGAGAGGGGGCATCCTTGTCTTGTTCCTGATCTTAGAGGAAAAGCTTTCGGTTTTTCACTGTTGAGTATGATGTCAGCTGTGGGTTTGTCATGTATAACCTTTATTATGTTGAGGTATGTTCCTGTGTACCCAGTTTGTTGAAAGTTTTTATCATTGAAAGGATATTTTGTCAAATGCTCTTTCTGCCTCTATTGAGATGATCATCTGGTTTTATCTTTCATTTTATTAATGTGGTATATCATATTTGTTGATTTGCGTGGGTAGAACCATGCTTGCATCTCAGGGATTAATCCCACTTGATTATGGTGTGTGATCCTTTTAATGTGCTGTTGCATTCCATTTGCTAATATTTTGTTAAGAGTTTTTGCACCTATATTCATCAGGAATATGAGTCCGTCGTCTTCTTGTGGTGGTGTTTTTTAGCTTTGGTATCAGGGTAATGCTAGGCTTGTAAAATGGGTTTGGGAGTGTTCCTATCTCTTCAATTTTTTGGCTGAGTTTGAGAAGGATTGGCATTAATTCATCTTTAAATGTTTGATAGAATTCAATAAAGCCATATATGGTCCTGGACTTTTCTTTGTTGGAGGTTTTTGATTGCTGATTCAATCACCGTATTTGTTATTGGTTCATATATTCTGTTTCTTCATCATTCTCTCTTGATAAGTTGTATGTTTCTAGGAATCTGTCAGTTTCTTGTAGGTTATCCAATTTGTTGGCATATAACTATTCATAGTAGTCTTCTGTGATCCTGTGTATTTCCATGGTATCATTGTAATGTCTCCTCTTTTATTTCTGATTTTATTTACTTGAATCTTCTTTGTTTCTTAGTCTAGCTGAAGTTTTATCAATTTTATCTTAAAAAAAAAAAAGACAAAACCCAGCTCTTAGTTTCATTTGTTCTCTATTTTTTTTTTTACCTCTCTTTCTGCCCTGATCTTTATTATTCCCTCCTTCTGCAACCTTTAGGTGTAATTTATTCTTCTTTTCCTATTTCCTAGAAATCTGTCCTCTACTCTGTTACTATATGTGTCTTAAAAATGTAATGCACAGGGGTGCCTGGGTGGCTCAGTTGGTTAAGCATCTGCCTTCGGCTCAGGTCATGATCTCAGGATCCTGGGATCAAGCCGTGCATCGGCTTCCTGTTCAGTGGGGAGTCTGCTCGTCTTCCTCCCTCTCCCTCTGCCCCTTCCCCCATTCGTGCTCTCTCTCTCAAATAAATAAAATCTTTTTTTAAAAATACGATGTACATTTTTAAAAAAATATTTACTTTTATAGAGAGAGGGCAAGCGGGGGAGGAGCAGAGGGAGAGAAAGAGAATCTCCAGTAGACTCCCTTCTGACTACGGAGCCTGACACAGGGCTCAGTCTCACGACCCTGAGATCATGACCTGAGCTGAAATCAAGAAGCTTAACCAACTGAGCCACCCAGGTACCCCTGCAATGCACATTTTATGAAAGTGTAATGCATCAGGGAAGTGTGGAAATCACGTAGTGTGATGGATTTCCTAATCGGGACACACCATGTCAGCAGCATCTAGGTCAGGTGTCCTCATGTGTTCCCTCAGTGGGAAGCACTGTGCTGACATCCAGCAGCAGAGGTGAATCTGGCTGTTATTCGTGTTCATACACACACGGTCGTACAGGATGTACTCTTGTTCCCTGACTTCTGTCACTCAGCACTGCTCGTGCTCGTTGTCCATGCATCCCCACTGGTTCTGCACAGTGTACCACTCTTTACTAGCCCGTTCTACTGGTGATGGACTTCTGGGTACT